CCCCCCCCCAAAGCTTTATCACCACCGCCTTTCTCTCCCGACAATTTTACAGTCAAGTTTCCCAAAACTGCAATCCGTTAATACGGAGTATTTATTTGCTTGTTCTTCATGGCGTAAAAAATGGGGGGAAAACTAGGATATGGGTCAGTGCGGGCGATCGTAAATGATTGAAGATGGTCCACATTTATTTGAAGGGAACAAAAAGGATATCTGCTACTCCGTAAATGCCAAATACTCCCTCAGTCAGTCCGCCTAAGATGTTCTCTTGACTTTTGGTGGTTTTTAAGAAGAGTTGAAAAAAGGTGAAAGTTTACCATAATACCCTTAATGAAAAATGGATGGAGTGTATTAAATGAGGTGGGTGAGGTGTAATAAATAAAATAAGTGGGGTAGTTGTGGTATTTTAGTTGTTAAAAAATGAAATGAGAAGATCTATTGTGGACAAAGAAAAAGGGCTATTGAGAAGATCTATGAGGGACGGAGGGAGTATAATAATTTTTTCTAAATAGATTTTTGGATTATGTTATGTGTACTCCAAGGTTTGTACCCCAATTTGTACCCCACAGTTTTGCACCAACACTTTGTGTTGGTGTAAAACTAATTTTTGTTAAACACACCAACATTTGTGTTCGTGTGAATTTTTATTAACGCACCAACACTTGTGTCGGTGTAAACCATCAAAATGTTTGTGCAAACCTGTGGTGTACAAATAGGGTATATTTTTTGGTGTAAGTGTAGCATGGTCTAGATTTTTTTCCCAATGTTTATAACTCTTTGACACCCTAAATAGCCCTTTGTTTGTAGATAGTAGTAGTGAATGTGTAGAGAAAAATGGTGCTTCTTTTACAAAAACATATGCTCATATTATATCAAAAGTGGAGATGAAGTTTTCTTTTTTTTTTTGAAGGAGGTGAAGTTTTCCAACATTGAAGATATCCGAAATCACCACTTGGCTTATGTTCAAAGTGTAGGCTTTCCACACAACTCGTAAGAGTCCATATGAAACTGTTAAAAGTGTGACATTTGTGCGGAGTAGAGAAAGGAGCAAAGTGAGCTTTATGAAAAAATCCTCGGGAGGCTGCCATGTAAAAGGAGTGTGAAGCAAACGAAACAAGAGTTTTGTAACATTGAAGATATCCGGAATGTATATATCTTACGTGCTTCTCTTTAGATATTTTATAGACATTAATTGTCTATGTAATGACTACCACACACAATTGTAAATACTCATTAAATTAGAATAATTAGCATACATAGGAATATTATGAACATATTGTTACAAATCTCGTACGGATTACAACGGACGGGGAAGATGAACGACCTCGTAAAATAAAATATAAATAAAATTCTGAATTTATAACTTATTCAGAATATTACTAAATAAACAAAGTTGAAGATCAATTTCTATATCTTCAAATAGCCTTGTTGTACGAGAACATTAAGCACTGGACAGCGAGGACATTAAGCACTGGGTAACAAGGACGTTATGCACAAGGCTGCGAGGACATTATGCACTAGGACAGAATGCAGCGATGTCTTTATGAACTAATCCTTCAACAAAACACCACGGAAAGACAGCGGAGTCGCCGGAGCTGTCCTTAAGGTAGTAGTGCCCGCCTACCGTACCGGAAAAACGTGGGCACTCTCCTCCCAGGATAAAACCGTTATCGTGTGTGGAGATTGTACGGACCAACCACACACCAACGAACAAGAACAACATAGGAACGTTGGCGACCAAAAACTTTAAAGGGGATGGCCGGAAAATCAAGAACTCTCTCTAAAAGAAAACAAGAAAGTATTTTCTCTTTTCTTTTTCTCTTCCTCACGCATGAAACCCACACCATGGAGAGTCCCCTTAATTTGTTTTTATAGCCAAGGAGTTTAAAAAGTGTAACTCCTACACCATTAACCCTTAGTATTAATCATGGCATTTGTGGCTCACTAATGGCGTGTTAATGGTGATTAATTATCCATTAACACGTCCGTTACGCTACGCTCCGTTTAAATTAAAATTTGTCCCGAATAATTGGAGATTGATGGCCAGTTAACTCCGTAAAAATGGACTAATTTTAAACAATACGTAGAATTAATAATAGAAGATTGGTTCAGTAAAATTGCAAAAAATTGTAATCCTTATCATATTCTTCTATTAACGGGTTAACTCTGAGAATCAATTTCTCATTCACCCTTTACCATTTTTGGCGTATAAATTATCAAAACATTTATCTCATTTAAGAGAACACACGTCCATTAATTAACGGTTAAAACTGTTAGTGGACCTATTGACAAATATACCCAAGTTGGTCCATTTAATGCCTATTAAAAATGCCAAAAATTCCAACACATATATGTAGAGAAACTTGGGAGTGTGTGGAGACAATATGAAATTATATTCCTCGCATTAAATATTGTACAAAATATTTGCAGACATTAAGTAAATGTCTATCAGTTTCGTGTGTTGTTAATGTAATAACAAAACATAATCATTTTAAACAAATTACTCCATATATTCATCCTTAAAATATCTTCCTATTTTAATTTAGATTCATTTTTAAGGAAGTTTAGAAATTAGAAATTGTGTTGATTTTTTGAAACACCTTTAATTCTCTAAATTCAGCAACCTTTAATTCTCTAAATTCAACCTAATGTTTAGTGTGACAAAAAAATTTTGCATTGACATTTTATGTCTGTGTGAACTACACCCTAACATCACACTGGAGAAAATGAAGTTGCATACCTGCAGTGTACAATTTGGGGTGCAGGTAACTTATTTCAAAGTGTTATTGCGTCAATGCTTCTTAACATGGACATGTGGTAAAGTGAAATTGTATTATTGTGTGAAAATAATACTCCATCCATCCTATAAAATCCTTCATGTTTGAAAAAGACGCACTCTTAAAATGAGTAATTTTGGTGTTATTTTTTAATTTTGTCCTTACTTTAGTAATAAAGTAGGATGAGATGTGTAAGATACATGATTCAAATTTAGAAAAATAACACAAAAATTAATAAAGACACTTTTTTCAAACAGGAAGAGTTTTATGGGACGGATGAAGTACATAATAAGAAAAAACAATACTACATATGAGCCATAGAAAGTTTTCATAAGTGAGATCTTATGTTTGGAAGTAAGAAAAAGAAAATGTGAATTTTTTTTACAGAGTATGACATAGTGTACTAATTGTAGAATATCCCCCAATTATAGTGGACAATTCGAGTAATTTACTCTGAATTAAACCTACAATTGCTTTTTTTAAACATACAATTGCACATTGGCAAAAAAACATTCAAATATGACATCAGAAAAAGAAATGATGGACAATTAAAGTATATATAGGCCTGTAAATACTGTTCCAGTTCTCTTCTTTTTTTTCCCCTGCAAGTAAATGAAAAGTGTATGCCCTTAGAGTTATTTTAAAGGCTCTGTCATGAGTCCATATCCAAAAGGGAAGAGTGGATCATAATGTGAATCCCCAACATTCATGGGGAGCTGATCAACAGTCTTGAACCATGTCCGTGGGAGCTTGCCCGTGAAGCCAAAATTACCAAAAAGGACATCCGCGACGCCTTGGCCTTCGCTCCCCGGGAGCCAAGCAGCTACAAGGGCATCAATCTGTGGGAGGTACGGCTGGATCACAACCGGTCGGCCAGTGATAAGAACCACAACACACTTAACATGTGCGCACACGTTTTCGAGAATGGTGGGTCCCGGATGGGGGATAGTCAGGTTTAGGTTGTCCCCTAAGCTCTCGGCGTAGGGCTTCTCCCCCACCACAACAATGGCGTGTGAGAAGTCTTTTGACTTGACAAACTCAACATCAGGGTTTTCCTTGAAAGTTACTTTGGTTTTAGGATCAACGGTGTTTCTTATAGCTGAGAGTATTGTAGTACCTGTTCACGCGAATGTGTTAAGAAGCAAAAAGACTCAGGAATGCTTTTATACTCTAATGTGTCTCCTCATGTTTAGGAGATATATATTTGCTCTAGCCATGAACGTAGACAATAAAATCTTCAAGTGGTTGACACTGGGTCAACAAAGTTCTGATATCATGTTATACACCAAATCAACCACAAAATGGATAAAATTTTCATTTTTCGTCAAACTCTCCTACCAAATTCACCTTTCAGGATTTTTCAAGTCGTAATGTGTTATGTGTAATGGGAAATTGCATGAAGTACCCCTTACCTGCCGTTATGTTGCCAGAAGCTCCTTGCCATTCTATTGTCCAGCCACCGCATTGATAGCCAATATTGTCTGCGTGAGTTCCTGCAACCAAAATTCTTGATGTCTTCTTTGGAAGAGGTAAAACCGGTTCTTCTCCATTTTCACCGTTCTTCAGAAGAACAAGAGATTTCCTCACTGCTTCCCTTGCCAGCTCTCTATGCTCCTGCACAAAAAGGAAGATTGCCAATTGCCATAAGACATGCTACAACTTGAAAATGGAAAGAAGGTTACAATATATATATATATATATATATATTACCTTACACCCAAGATAATTAACCATGCTATAATCAGCCAAAGGGTTCTCAAAGAGACCCATTACAAACTTCACTCTGAGAATTCTCGCAACTGCATCATCAATCCGGCTTATTGGGATAAAGTTGTTCTTCACCAGAAATGTTAGACCATTGATGAATTCTGTATAGTTGAATGGAATCATAACCTGTGACATTTTCCAAACCAATATAAATGTCCCCTTTGTTTGCATAGGGGTAAGGTCTGCGTACGCACACTCTCTCCAGACCCTACTTTTTGTGGGATTTTACTAGACATGTTATTGTTGTTGTTTGCCTAGTAAATTGGAGAATAGAGTGATAACCAAGGTGCTAGGCAAGCAAGCGAAAGATTGGGGCCTAGCATTTAGCAAAAAGGTTAAGTTTAAAATCTATGTGGAACAAATCTTTGTTTGGGAATAGATTTCACCCACCATATCAATTCCAGCATTGACAGACTTTAGAATGGAGTATGTGTAGTTCTCGTGAATCGTAGGAGTAATCATATCGATAGCCATATAGTCTGTTATAACAAACCCCTGAAATAATGTAAAGAAAAAAATGAACTTTAAATCCTCTTGAGCAGGCAAGTTTCTGGTTTATTTTACCAATCTTTAGCAGATGATACAGTGAGTGTGGTTTACTCTGAAACGCATTGTTTCCTTAAGAAAGCCAGTGATCATGTCATGGTTAGCATGCATTTTCACACCATTCCAGCTTGAATATGACACCATGACAGTGGCCACACCTTTGATGATCGAATTATAGTAGCCGGCCATATGTGTACCGAGGAGGCCATGCCTGCTTATCGCCGTGTTGTTCCCATTTATGCCCTTCACAGTGCCACCATCACCCACAAAATGCTTCGCGCAAGCTGCAACTTTCTCTCTAAAGACATTAAATGAAGACATGACCAAATTTGACTTGCATGACTTCAAACGTGCCTTTAAAACGACTCTTTTAGACTTGTAAAGCATGTTTTCTATTCAAAAAGGAAATGTTCAAACTGGGTACTGCATCACGTATGAAGGTATTAGGTATAGTAAATTCATAAATGTCAACACTTGAGTTTCAGCTTGATATGAGGAATAGCCTAAGAATTTATATGATGTTCATATATTTATATTCGTTTCGATGTGATTATATGGGCTAGTTCTTTTGACACTGGACTCTAGTATCATATTACGGAGTACTCTGTATATATTTTGGCACTGGTCATTTGAGGCTTCAACGGTGCTACGTTGAGCCCAAAAATTATTCCTACCTCCTAACCACCCCCAAACCCTCCTGCCCCCAAATATTGTAGCAAGTTGGTGACTTTGAAAGGGGGGGAGGAACAAATTCCGGGCCCAATGGAGCACTATATAGCCTCGGTGTCATAATATGACACCCAATTCAAGTGCCAAAAGAACCGTGATGGGTATTATATACTCAAACTTACTTTCCAGCAACATATGGGACACCCAGAGAATTAGGGGGTGTCTCCCCTTGCAGTCCATGAATGATCTCAGTCATAGCCCGGACAACCTCAGGATCCTCACTGTAACTCTCATAGCACCGACCCCATCTCGGATCTCTGCATACCTAATCCCATCATTAGGACGAACGTATTTACTAATCAAAGCATAACATAACATAACATCCAAGAGTACATCTCTATCACTCCACATACTTTCAACAAAATTAGGGTGAATGAACTTATTTACCGCAATGCAGGGTGCAAATACATATTGAATTCCTGTAGCCCTTACTTCAAGAGCAGTTGCCGCTCCAATCTTCCTTACCAGTTCAGGATCCCTAAGCATCCAACAATCATGGGAACATTACTAAAACACCCTTTTATGCAGCATTAGGAATAAAAGTCATACGCAACTCAGTTCCAAAGACATGGGATTTTTGAATACATAGACATGTTTAGTAAGATTTGGTTATATCAAAGTCACTAGATACATACTCCGTTTATAACTTGACATAAAAAGCTTGCCTGGTTGCTCCAAGGCCAATATTGTGAGGGAAAATGGTAGCATTGTAGACAGTATTTTGACCATGAACTGCATCAATCCCATAGATCATGGGAATCCCAAGCCGAGTCGATAACGATCCGTTTTGTAAATCATTCACCATGTCCACCCAAGCCTGTGCAGGTGCCTTTTTCTTTGGTGCACTCCCTCCTCCACTCAACACACTACCTGCTCCGAGAAAAAAAACAAATCTTATCCATCTGAGGCTGTTCTTGTTAGAGCCTCAATGCATTGCTAGATTTATTGTCCAAAACTTCATAGAGATTAAGTTCAATATGTCATTTTGATTTAGTACATTATTCATGGAAGCCAAAACATGGGTCAAAATGACTCTTTTAGCTCAAAGGAAACCCAAGTATGGTTAAATTATGGATATAGTAAACAGGAAATCATATTGTTTTTTTCAAATTCATTGACAAAATAAAATACCTATATAGTAATTCTTCAGGACTTGATGAGATGCCACTGTCCTTTCAATCTGAACCATTTGACCAATTTTTTCCTCCAAACTCATCCTTCTCATCAGGTCCTTGATTCGCAGACCCAACGGCTTGGTGGGATTTTTGTAGAGCATCTTATCTGCACTGGCTAAAACCACCCAGCAACATGCCACAACTATCCCAATCAAGAATCTCACTTCTTGCCTCATTTTTTCCCTTCAATATGCAGTTCCTTCAAGAGCATAACACAGATTTATATTAGTTCGAAGCCAAAAAAGAAGAAGAAAGTGAGCCCATAAATTGCAGAAAAGCTAATTTTGAAGCAGAAGCCAAGAAGAAATGGAAATCTGTGATATACTCCCCCTCGAATTAATTCTGCTCCACCACTCCCCAATGTTTCTTTACTTCTTGTTGTGTTGCCCATACAATAGTGAGTAATTTATCTAATTTTAACTTATAAAATAAAATAATATTTTAAAAATATTTTAAATAAAATAATATTGTAAAAAATATTTTTTCCAATAAACCAAATGCAAATATTAGTATATCAATATCTAATACTGTATAAATTTTGATTCATTTGTACTCAAAATTTATCAATTTTAAATGTTTAAAAATCAAAACCCAACAAATATTCAACAAATAGTTAGCAAGAATGAGCCGTTAAACATCAAAGATAGTAGAAAGGCAATTACTACTCCACATTGTTTTGCAGAGAGTATCGGATCAAAAATAATAATATTTCCCTCCTAAAACTTTCTTCGTAATCGTTATTTACTTATTTTCGTTAGTTATTTGATAAAGTAATACGGAGTATAGTTTTTTCACCTCTTGTTTTGTACTTCCTCCGTCCCACTAATTTATTCTGATATATTTAGAAGTATTTTTGACCTAATCTGGTTCTAATAAAAAAAGTAATAAGAATAAGATCATATTCTCTTCAACTTAGTTTTTATTACTTATTACTTTTTCTTACTGAAATCGGATCAGTTTAGAAATAACTGTAAATATAATTAATCCAGATCACATTTTATTTAGGAAAAATTATCCAAAATAATCCCAACTTTACATGGTCTTTTAAAAATAATCTCACCTTTCAACGTGATGCATAATAATCCGAACTTTACTAAATTTTGCGAGTTTTGGGTCGCCGTTAAGTTTCTAACAGAGAGTTAACGGAAATGCCAGTTTTGGGCAACAAAATGAAAGTTGGGATTATTTTTGATGAACTTTCATTTTTTTTTTATATTTTTTTGAATTTTTTCATTTAAACTTTTAAATTTACTTTCTACCTTCATCATCATTTCTTTTTCCTTTTTTAAAGATTAGTCTTAGTTTAAAAAAAATAAAAATAATAGATACTCCGTATAAAAAAATAAAAAAATGAGAAATATAACTAAAATGATACAAAAATAAAAATATAAATAGAGTAATCAATAGAAACTAACTTGAAATTGGTAATAAATAAAATAAAAATATACGGGTGGATTTTAATTTTTTACACACTATACAAAGTATTAACGTATCACTTCTTATTTTTTAAATAAAATTATCTACAATAATTCCAACTTTACCGGACGGCTTGTTCTTTTAAAAAATAAATAGTATATTAAGACTTTGTATAATATGTAAAATGTTAAAACCCACCATTTCGTATATATTTATTTTATTTCTTACTACTTTCCGTTTAATTTCTATTGATAACATTATTTATTTCATCAATTTTGTATGATTTTAGTTATTTTTCTCATATTCATTGTTATATATATATATATATATATATATATATATATATATATATATATATATATATATAATCTTTAAAAAAAGAAAAAGAAATGGAGGTTGAAAGTAATTCCAAAAATTTAAATAAAAATTTTAAAAAAATTAAAAAACAAAAATTCATCAAAAATAATCCCAACTTTCATTTTGTTGCCTAAAACAGGCATTTCCGTTAACCCTCCGTTAGAAATTTAACGGCGACCCAAAACTCACAAATTTCAATAAAGTTGGGTTTATTATCCATCATAGTGAAAAGTGGGATTATTTTAGAAAGACCGGGTAAAGTTGAGATTATTTTAAGTAAATTTTTCTTTTATTTAAATCAAATTAAAACAATTCAGATCAGGTGAGAAGAACACATAGTCATCGTGTGATAATCTTAAATAAATAAATAAATAGAGAGTAAAAGGCTTTGATTTGAAGGTCAAACATTTTTCTTTTAATTTTGGTATGCACAAAGGTTGGAGCTTGCTGCTAAAACCAGAAGAGAAGCAAAACAGAGAAAAAAAGCAAAGCTGGAAAGTGAACGAGAAAGACGATTAGCTTCCCTGATTCAGACATGCCCGAGCCTGAGAGTTCTCCACCAAATCCATGCCCATGTCCTCACCTCCCCATTTCTCTCCACCCAATCCCTCTCCTTCCTCCTCGCCAAGATCCTGACCTTCTCCGCCCTGTCTCCGCGCGGCAGCCTCGCCCACGCCAAGCAGCTCCTCCCCCGCATCCCGAACCCGGGAATTTTCTCTTACAATTCCCTCATTAGAGGGTTCTTGGAGTCCCGGACGCCGTCCCGGGAACCCATTCTCATCTTCAAGAGGTTGCTCTGGAAGAGTTACCCGAGGTCGAACAGTTTCACGCTGGCCTTCGTTCTCAAGTCTTGTTCGATCCTGGTGGCGTTTAGAGAAGGGGAACAGGTTCACAAGCATGTTATACAGTCTGGGTATGGCTCGAGTCCCTTTGTTCAGACATCGTTGCTGAATCTCTATGCCAAATGTGAGGAGATTGAGCTTGGCGAGAAGGTGTTCGATGAAATTCCTGAGAGAAATGCGGTTGCTTGGAGTGCGATGATTAGTGGGTATTCCAGACTAGGGATGGCTGATCAGGCTTTGAGGTCATTTAGGGAGATGCAGAAGTCAGGGATTCCACCTGATAGGGTGTCACTGGGCAGCGCGATCTCTGCGTGTGCCATGTCTGGAGCTTTGGATTTAGGGGAATGGCTGCATGCTTACGTTGGTAAAAACGGGATTGAGAATGATCTTGAGCTTAGTACTGCACTTGTTAACATGTATGCAAAATGTGGATGCATTGAAAGGGCAAAGAATATCTTTGAAGCAATGCCTGTTAAGGATGTCAAGGCTTGGGGCTCAATGATATATGGACTAGCCATTAATGGCCTAGCGGAAGATGCTCTGAATGCTTTTTCCAGAATGGGAGAAACTAAGGTAGTTAAAAATGAGACAGAAGAGTACTTTGGGTGCCCTTTCCAAGTGCTAACAAACTATTTAGCTAATTTGCAGAAATTCTAAGGGTGTTTGGCACCCCTTATCACAATTATAAGAATCGGACAAATTGCGAGGGCGTTTCGCATTGACAGTTCGATTTGGTTTTGTGTAACACCTAAAAGAAATGAGCTTTACCAATTTCTAGAGCAGAAAACAGATGAATTCATTTTTGAAAAACTGAAACAAAGACCTTCTATTCTAAACACATGCAAACATGTTCTAATTTATAACATTAAGCTAATATTTCTGTACTTTTCGAAAGTATATATGACCGGAAAAAAAACAGTATGATCCCATGATTTTTAACAATTGTACCCATTGGCATTTGGAGGGAGGATGTACTATTTATACATATTCTGATGTTTGGAGATGGCTATTAAACCACAATTTTTACATTTTTCTCAGTTGGAGCCTAATCACGTTACATTCGTGGGCGTCTTAGTGGCCTGCGCTCATGGTGGATTAGTTTCAGAGGGAAAAATGTACTGGTCAAGCATGATTGAATCCGGGTTTGATCCATCTTTGGAGCATTATGGCTTGATGATTGATCTTCTGTGTCGATCAAACTTAATCGAAGAAGCCTATTCTTTTTTCGACTCCATGCCAATCCCTCCAAACCCAGCAATACTCCGTAGCCTGCTGGCTGGTTGCAAGACGAAGAAGGAGAAGAAGATTCTAGAAAGAGGCGAAACCACAGGCAAACACCTCATTGAGCTTGAGCCACAAAACCCTGAGAACTATATCTTATTGTCTAGTCTCTACGCCTCGGTTTCAAACTGGGAAAGAATGAGGGAAGTGAGGAAACAAATGAAAGATGAAGGCATCAAGGCTGTTCCTGGCTGCAGTTCCATTGAACTTGATGGGTACGTCCACGAATTCACCATGGGCGATTGGTCTCACCCGGAATCCGAGGACATAAACGGGATTTTACGCGAGATTACGGATAAGGTGAACGGGTCGGGCCACGAACCGCGGGTTTCATGCGTGCTACACGACGTGAGTGATGAAGAGAAAGGGAATGCATTGTGCCAACACAGTGAGAGGTTAGCCATAGCCTATGGTCTTTTGAAAACAAAAGCGCCGAAGATCATTAGGGTTGTAAAGAATCTGAGAGTTTGTTGGGATTGCCATGAAGTGACAAAGATCATCAGTAAGGTGTATAACAGGGAGATCATTGTTAGAGACCGTGTAAGGTTTCATAAGTTCAAAGATGGATCTTGCTCTTGTAGAGATTTTTGGTAGAACATAGTGTATCTCTTACTCCCTTGATCTCACAAATCACATAAACTTTAGTTTATTTGTGTATTTTGATTGATTATTTAATAAAATAAAATATTTTAATGAGATCTTGTTTTGTACCGTAGAACTTTTGACATAATTCTTGAATATATAAGTTTTATTTTTAAAATCTATACCAATTTTTATATAAAATGAATTTAAAAAATTTTGAAAATTCACTTTGTTTTACGTAAAGTATGAAACACTTTGTCCTCCCTCCAATATTTCACATCTAGTGATTCTCAAAATCACGCGATCAAAATCAAAAAAATAAAACAAAATCAAAGGAGAACACTTGATTAGAACAACAATATGTTACATAAACAGAGCCTTCAACATTTTTAGACTAAAATACAACTGAGAACTGGATCAGCCTTTTCAAACAACACAAAAAACATCAAAAGAGAAAGAAAAAAAATCACTCACTACACAAAAGCCAACAAGCAGTGGCAGCTAGAAACCAATTCTATCTTGATCAACAACAGTGGGATTCACACATACAGTACATTTGAATCATCATTTTTTTAAGTGAGAAAAATGAAAGAATATCCACACAAAAAAAAGAAAGAAAAAAAAACAAAAGAACACCTTTCCTTGTACAACTTCTTTGGTTAAAAATCTCTCTATCGCCCGTCTTCATAGCTATCTACCCTCACCGGTCAAGGACCCATCCTTCATCAATCTCAAGCTCAGATCATTGTATCGTTCTCGAGAATACTGCCTTGAGGCCTTTCTCCAGTCTGTCCCAGCCTTCATCATTCCAGCGAACTCATCATAGCTTATCCTCCCATCCTGTACAAAAAAAAAACAACAAACTTGGGCATCATTTTGCTTTGATTCTCTCTTTTTTTGGGCAGATTCTGTTTGTTCATTCTGGAATGAGAATGTGCAGAAATGAATGTTGCCAAACAGTTCTAATTAATAAGGGGAGAGGGTAAACTGACCTTGTCAGTATCTACATCTTGCATAATAGCATTGACAATTTCTTCGCTGTTTGTGTCGATATCATCAGCTAAGGCATCGCGTAGCTCCTCAATCTCTATGTATCCGGTCTGGTTCTTGTCAAAAAACTCAAATGCTTTCTTCAAGTGTTCATCATTTCCCATCTTCCTTAGGTGAACAGAAATCGCCACAAACTCCGCACAATCCAGATGACCATCTTTATCCACATCACCCTGCCAAAATAAAAACAAATGGTTACTGACTTACTGTCACTACACTTTGATTATGAACAATGCAGGTGCAGTTCTTGGATGATTTGACTGGAGATTTGTGATCTTTAGGGTGATAAAACATTGTCATGAATTGACAAACATACCCCCTATTGTTTGATTTCTAGGAAATAAGAGTATCAAGGCAAAGAGAAATGAATTTGAGATGGCAAAACAGTCATTTTACCGTGTTTTACTTTATCGAATTGCTAAAAAGCCCACTTACAGCTTCCATAAGAATTTGGAGATCCGAATCGGGGATTTGATGGCCGAGTTTCTGCAAACCGACTCTCAACTCATTGATGTCGATCTTCCCTTTGTTGCTTGTGTCCATTAGTTGGAACCCTTCCTTTATTCCAGCCACTTCCTCCACTGACAAATGCTCGGCTATCACCTATTATCAGTTGAAACCAAATTAAATAAATAATGAAAAAAAGAAAGGGAGTTCTGTACATAAAATTAAATAAAATGTTCACTTCAGATAAATGAAGGGACAATAATCAAGAGTGAAGTACCCTCAGAGCTCTTTTCTTCAGTTTATTCATCATGGAGAACTGCTTGAGCCTTGCTTTTACAGTTTCACCCAAAGAAACATTAGGAGCCTTCTTTGCGTTCTGTAACCAAGGATGATCTGCAAACATTAAAACAAGATGACTTTGATCAGAGAATGCACCATCAGGTTAGAGTAGAAGATACTAGGAAAATTAAATAGAGTGCTTAAAGAAAGTTGTTTTCTTGTGTTGGTTTTTTACCTCGGAAAATGCAAAGAAAAACAGTGCATGATTAATGTTTTTAAAATTTTAGATCTTTACAAATTCCCAACTAGTAAGAATACATTGGAATTGTTGTTGTTGTTGTTGTTGTTGTGTATAATAGAATTATAGAAATAAATCAATTGATTGAATTTTAACAAATATCCAAAATAAAGTTATTGGGTTTGAGCCATTGTATTGATTTCCACTGACATTTTCTTTTGATTACAAGCAACAAACCCATTAATTCTCCTATATTTGAGGAGAGGTTACCTAGAACTTCCTGAGCAGTAAGACGCTTGGTAGGGTCCGGGTTGAGCATCTTCTTCACAAGGTCCTTTGCATTATCAGACACCTTAGGCCAGGGATCTCTTCGGAAATCCACAACAGACCTTATGATTGCTTGAGCAACACCTTGTTCAGTTTCTGAACAAGGTAACATGGCATTAATCATTGAGAGAAATGGGAAGGGGAAAGAGATCAATATAAGTTGACAAGAAATGGCAAACCAACCTGCCCAAAATGGTGGAACACCGCATAGTAAGATGTAGAGAATCACGCCGGCACTCCAAACATCCACTTCTGGGCCGTAGTTTCTTTTCAGAACCTCTGGAGCCATGTAATATGGACTTCCCACAATCTCATTAAATCTCTCGCCTGAAACAATCATCCCCACATGAGTGTAAAATCCAAACAAAACAATACAATTGTTTTCAATAGGTAATGGGGTATTACCAGGTTTAAAGAAAATCGAAAGCCCGAAATCAATGGCTTTTAGGGCTGCAGTTTCTTTCTTGTTTGCAAACAGAAAGTTTTCAGGTTTGAGATCACGATGCATCACGCCATGTTTATGACACATCTGCAAATCATTAAAGGATATTGATTTCTAAACCACTGTATACATATATACACATAATATGAATTCTTTCAAATACAAAAGCTAAATGTGGTTTAAAGAAACTGATTTAGAAATACGCATGTGATTCGAGCTAAACCTACTCAAGCATTCAATTACTTGTGCAGAAAACAATGGATACCCATCACAAAAGGACAGCAAGTACACAACTAGGGATGAATGTCAATTGGCTTAGAAGCTGCACCATTATCACAAGATATTGAAAGAAGAAGAAGAAGCATAATTTGTCATTTCAGCCAAATTAATCTCAGCAACCCAACACCCAACATTCTACATTATCACAAGACATAACACTTCAAAGAAATAGATAGAAAAGCATTAATAAGTTATAAATACACACTATGCTCCACATAATCTAGAAACAGGAAAGGGAGAAACAGATGTCATCGTGTAAATGTAAAAATGAGCTATTAGATCTAAGTAATCTTATTCTAACCCAGTAATAACACAACAAAAAAGAAAAGGTAAGAGTGAAGAAATGAGACCCTTCACCTGAATAACTTCAACAATGGTGCGAGTAACCGCAGCGGCAGCCCTCTCAGTGTAATGACCCCTCGCAACAATCCGATCAAACAACTCACCGCCCTCACACAGCTCCATCACCAGATGGACGGCTTGATCATCCTCGTATGTATCCTTCAAGGTCACAATGTTTTGATGCTTGGGCAAATGCCTCATGATCTCAACCTCCCTCCTAACATCTTCAATATCCACTCTAGTCCTCAGCTTCTTCTTCGATATCGATTTGCAGGCCAAATGTTCTCCAGTTGACTTATCCGTACACAAGTAAGTAACCCCAAATTCTCCCCGGCCAAGTTCACGCCCCAGCTCGTATGTGGCCTCTATATCGTGCCCTGTTGGGTCTTCCAACACATAGGACCTGTGCCCTCCATTTCCAGGCGTATGGTTTCCAGCGTAGTCTATGGAAAAGGGGTTTGGCTTTTTCCCCTTCTTCTCATCAGTAGTCAGAGGTGAAGCACAACAATTACCCATTAGCCCAGAAAGCTTCAAGAAACCAACAGCTTTAAGTTCTCAGTTCAAGAAACCAACAGCTTCAAATTCTCAGTTCAAGAAACCGATACATCAATTAAAAAAATCTCAGCTTTCTCAGATAACAGAATCAAGACTCCGATCTTTCGACTAGAACACCAAAAAAAGATGAAGTATGCAAAAGCAGTTTAAAGAACTGATATCTCCATTTCTCTCCGGAATAAACACAGAAATCAAGAAAAAAGAGAAGATTGGGTTTTGGGAAAAATCTCAGATCTCCCTTAAGAGACAAAAGAAAAGAAAAAATGTGATCGGATTGGATTGGCAGGTGAAACCAACACAACACAATCCTCTTGTGATCTTTTTTTTTTAAAGAAAATTATTTGCAAAGAACACAGAAATATTGGAAGAATTATTGGAGGGCCTGGTCGTTGGCAGATGGAGAAGATGGGATTTTAGAGTGTGAAATAAGAGATGGAAATGTTTGACTGGCATATTTGATGGGAGAAACGGTCAAAGCATTTCCCTTTCTGGTAGACTTCTCACCCAACTGCTTTATTTCCGTCCAGGAATCTCCCTCGCCCAGAACTCTTTCACTGTAGTTTCCCATTTTTACCTTTGTATGTTGGGCAATTGACCATTAACTTAGGAGTTAGGTAGGGGTCTTGGTTCAAACATTTAAGGACACTTGCAATGGGTAACAAAACTTAGCCTTAGAAAGTTAAGAAGGAAGAAAGATTTGCAAAGAAGATGGGAAGACATTAAGGCAAGTTAATTTAGTTGTTTGAAATGGAATTATTAAATTGTCCACTTAGCCTTAAAATTAAAGAACCACGTAGGTAATACAGATGATGACTAAGTAGCGTCGGAGTAACGATATAAATATGGGATAATTATTGAAGTAGTGGCGTAAATTAATAAATTTGAGAATATTTATGTAAAATCATACATTTCTGGGGGTATTAGTGTGAATTTTTTCTATTCTTTTTTTCTTTAGTCAAGTTCATTGTTAATTTTGGTCCTTATCCGCTATCACAAAGCCTTAACGATAACATGTAATTTTATTTTAGGGGAAAAGACCCAAATTAAACTTAAATTGAGATGAAGGGAGTATAAAATATTTTTTCATTTTTTTAAAATTACCTAGGATATAAAAATTATATCCCACATTATATAGATTTCGTTTCACTCCGTGCATCGAATACTAGTTTAGCAAATAATGCAAATACACGCGGCAAAAAGTTCTATCGTAAGCCCTCAACAATGTACTATCCTACTATATATAAAAAGAAAATAAAATAGATTATGTTGTTTCCCGCCCATATTGAGTAGCTCCGGTCCAAAACTTGAAGAACAATTCATATAGATACATAGATTCACAACAGTCCAAATAACCTAATAGCTACAATAATTCATACTCTGTATACATATATTCACATGGTATATGTCTAAGGAAGGGTATTCCCTTTTCCTCATTCAATGCATATTATCCACTTCAAGAATGGTGCATATTTTGTGCTATCATATGCATATTTATTTTTCTATAAGGCACCGTTTGGTACATGGAATTCAAACCATGGAATTGGAATTGAGGGCTTCAAATCCAATTCCGGTGTTTGGTAGCTTAAAAATTATGTGGATTTGGAATTGATAGTGTAAAAAATGAATTGGAATTGGCAGAATTCAATTCTATGGAATTGAATCCCATGGAATTTCAATTCCAATTCAATTCTAATTCTGTCAATTCCACATACCAAACGGACCCTAACTGTTATCAATTTTTTCACAGGAATAGAATCCATTGTTGGCTTAAAAAAACTATAAAATCAAGAAGTATGACGAGAATCGGTGTTTTTGATATTTTAAATCTTCTAATTGTAACATGTTCTCAATTTTAAAGGAATTTGACTATGGGATAAATTTGTCTAAAATACCCTAACTAAAAACTGGACATGGCAAGGAATTAAGAGATGGAGGGAGATTATTGTGAAAATTAGCTTTAGTTTCAATACTCCGTAAGTTGTAATGTTGGCCTCAACATACATAATACATTCAGTGAAAATCATTACTTCGTACTCTGTAGTACACCCTATTTTTATTTAGTGTAGTGTGCCATGTGTTTAAGAATAAACTCTTTATCAATAAGAGATTTAAGTATATTTCAAAAAGTTATAATTTTAATTTTAAAATTTATATTTTTTTAAAACTAATACAGACTAAATAATTAATAAGGATTGTTTTAAAATTCTTTTCGGACATCATTTTCCAAGATAGGGTAAAATATGTCTTCAAACACTATAAAATAGGTGAGTTTTATATAAAATATGACTTCTTCCAATAAATATTGGTAAACTTAAATTTCAAATTAAATAAAAATAGTATTAGATATTTGGACAAAAATATTTTTATTAGATTTATTACATCAAATGTTTTCAAAAATATTATTTTATCAAATTAATATACAATATATATTTTATTTAATTATAGGTCAAAGATTGAAAATGATTAAGTGGAAAAAGTCAAAACTGGACAGATACTCATGAAAGAAGATAGTATATATTGCAATATAAATTTATTTTAATATTGACATTAAAAGGTTTTAAGGAACTTGCTCACACACTCTTAAATTTCTAATGTTGTAAATTAAAGAGTTTGCTTAAGATGTATATATGATCGTAAGCAATCAATAAACACGCCAAATTTTATGTCCGTGCATTGCACGGGGATGAATCTAGTATAGAGTACAACAAAACGACAAATCCTATAAAATCCCACGAAAAGTAGGGTCTAAGGGTATGCGTACGCAAACTTTTTTCCTACTTGGCAATCGAAAGAATGTTACAATACACTATTTTATACATGAATCATACATTGACCAAAGTTTAATAATCCTCTGTATAGTGACTATTACAGTAGTCTGAGATTCAATGCTGCAGAGATCTCTTTAGAGAACTCCAATTGCTGATATGTTGATGTTATGAACCTGCAAGCACGCCATTACAGCGGCAACTGGCCATGAAAGACCAGACGGGAGATCTTGGACGATCTTCCAATGCCAAGAAATTCCTACTTTGCCCTCTTTGCGGTCGTGAACTTTGGGTTTTTGCACATCCGGATACTAAGGGGAGTAACTTCAACCAGTTCATCTTCTTCGATGTACTCTATGCAGTCGTCAAGACTATAATCCAGAGGGGTGTCAAGAACCACTGCATGTGAGAGCAGACAACAAAAACAAACCCAGTAAAATCTCACAAAAAAGTAGAGTATGAAGAAGGTGAATGTACGCAAACCCCTACTTGAGAGTAAAGAGACTGTTTCCAAGAGAATCCCAACTAATCTAAATGTGAGTGCGGAATGAATCAAAATGCATACTTTGCTTCGCTTATTTGTATTCTGAAATGCACACCGCAGAGAAAATTATAGCCCAACTAGTGCAACTCAAACAACTTTTCACTTTGACCAATGCTAAAAGCGTATGAAACCTCTCCGCGAGGGGGGGGGGTACAACAATGCCTCAGGGTCGCAGGAATTTTTTATATAGCAAAGCCGAGTTGTGAAGAAAAATGAATTTTAGAATTTTTAGTAGAAATTTTTGAAACTTTAAGATGTTATAGTTTTTAAAACTTTAAGATGCAACAATTTTGCATACATTTAGAATAGTAAGTTTCGTAAGTTTCCATAATAGAAATATACTGATTAAAAGAGTTTGAAGTGTGAACAAATATCTAAATTTGATTTATTGAGTTTGAAGTATTTTTGTATCCCCGACCCCCAATCATTTCCCGAGGTCCAAACAGACCCATAAAAACTAGAAAAAACATCAGTTAATTATTCCCTCCGTCCTATAATTTTCTTCATGCTTCCCTTCTTGTGATGTCCCGACTTCCCCCCAAAGAGTTCTTTTAAGAAAAGAATTTTGTGGTTCATATTATTCGTCTCTCATTTCCATAAACATCAACCGCACAAATTCTTTTTTTACCTGTCTGTTCTTTGTTAGAACGAATGTTGGTCGCGGCTTTTTTCTTGCAAACATTGAGAGACAAGTCACCAGGGCGCTGATGAATGCCGACTATTTGGCCTTTATAAACATCAACTCCGGGACCTATAAACATTTGCCCTCTTTCCTGTGAACTAGATAGAGCATACGACGTGCTTGTTCCATCCTCAAAAGCAACCTTCATTAGCAAAAATTAATGATGAATGTTTAATCAGGAAGTCCTAAGTATACATTAAAATTGAATAAGAAAGTCAAGAAAAATCTATAGATTGAAAACAAACTGACAACAAGAATCACCATTTGGGATGACTTTTTAAAAGAGTTTTTCAAACAAATATTTCCCAAATAAGCGCGATTTTGGTAATACCGGTGATTTTAAATTCAGTGAAATTATTTTTATTTCAATACAAGCAGCAATATATTTCTTTATTCTCATATGTTCCAAAACATCAAGAAAGAAGATTATATGCTTATCTGTTTCAAAACATCAAGAAAGAAGATTACCAGTGAGCCCTGATCCCGTGTGGAAATATCACCAGCCCAAGGTCCATAGCTATCGAAAACAGTGTTGAGAATGGCTGTTCCTCTGGAGGCAGTCAAAATAGCATTCCGCAGTCCGAGAAGACCTCGGGTTGGTATTTTATATTTCAGGAGAGTTGTTCCTTCCGACCTAAGAAGACATTATAAAAGTTTTGAATAAATGGAAAAATTGTTCATACTGAATCAAGATATATTAACAAACAAACAAACAACAACACAATATAATCCAACATGATCCCATCTGGAACATTCAACCTAAAGCTGGCCTTTGCTATTACTTAAGGAAAATCTTAAAGAACATACGGTTATTTGCAGGTATGATACTAATGAAGTGTATGATACCCATAGAGGATATGAATGGTTAATGGGTCCTTCAACTGATTTTCATGCTTATCAGATTGTGTGGAATAAGCTTACCATTCCTAAACAACAATTCTTTCAATGGCTTGGATGATTTTGATGATGATAAAGATTTGTACAGTTGTTTAAAAAAACACAACATAATCCCAAAATTATATGCCCCAGACTAAAACGTCGACAATGATGACTCTTTTAGCTTCATTGGCAAGGCAGACCAACAAACAAAGAAACAAAATGCAAATTCATTTGATGTTGCAAATGTTTTTTTATTTCAAGAAAGTTTAAAGAAAGCATTACCCAACCCCTTGCATATCAAACATCTGCCCACGTCTTTTACCAAGAAGTTCCACTACAGACCCCATGTGCTCTTCAGGTACCTCTACAATAGCAATCTGCAGAAACAATGCTAGGTTGCAGTAAGAGATTGTTTCCATATCTCCAAAGACAAAATATATTACTTTGTATTAATTTATCATATGACTTCTCAAGAAATTACTCCATCAGTCCTTCTAGACCTTAATATAATGTACAATTGACCTAATTAAACTAATGAATGTAAGTACCTAGATTCATTGAGAGCTCTTAAAAACATAAGTCTCTCTGTCGGTGTCGGTCTGTCCCATAAAGAGAGTTATGTTTCAACTTTTTACTGTAGTAAAGCACAACTATTTTTTTTAGGTGAAGTGAAGAAAAATGGTTAGAAATCTTCATATATGGCTATATATTTTTTCCAAAAAGAAAAAGATGGTTCAAAAAAATGTCACAGAATATGTTTAGAAAGTGGACTCCTTTGTGGGAAGGAAGGAGTATGATACTCCAATTTTACCATTTTTATCCTACCTCATAAGGTTCCAGCAACTTGTCATTCACTCTTTTATTGATTACTTTGGGAGGTCCAACCATGAACTCAAATCCTTCTCTTCGCCTAAAAACATTTTTAGAAACGTCAACATAAACCAAGATAAATATGAGGGTAGTGGTGGAAAAGATACTTTTGCATACATTAAAAAAAAGAAGAAGATACTTCTGCATACATGTTCTCAATTAATATGGTGATGTGCAAAGTTCCCCGTCCACTAACAATAAATGTATCTGCAGTTTCACCATCTTCCACTTTCATGGCTAGATTTCTCTCAAGTTCACGGTACAAACGATCTCTTAAGTTTCTACTTGTGACATACTTACCCTGGGTACGAACAAGCATTAAAAAAATCTTCCATGCAATCTAATAGGGCAAAAAATAAAAAGAAAAAGATATACTCCGTACTAAGTAATCATACCTCACGGCCAACAAATGGGGAAATGTTGACCGAAAATGCCATTTTCACTGTGGGTTCTTCAACAGTTATGGTAGGCAGTGGCTTTCCATTGCTTTTTTCTGCAATAGTCTCCCCAATCTGAATCAGACAGACAAGTCAGGAGAAATAAGACATGGGGCCAATCTGAGCATTCTATTTCATGCAACAAGAAGTGACCTGAATATCGCCAATGCCACAAACAGCACATATATCACCAGCTTCCACACTTTCTGCAGGAACTCTATAGAATTTCTCATACACAAAAAGTTCACTAACTCTACCAAACCGGTGTTCATCCTCTGATGTACATATCTGAGAATTCAAATGTCATGAAAGAACATGAGCATTTACGATTTCCTTTGTAGAGTATGACATTATGACTGATGTGAAGTGCAATTATTTGAACAAAAACAATAACAAACCCACTATAATCCCAACTCCGTTGGGGACTTGCCATCTTGGGGGACAAGATGTACGCAACCTTACCCCTGTTAAAAGCAGAGAGGTTGTTTCAGTTAGACCCTTGATGCATCTGTTACCCCAAACTTCATATCATGTAAGAAGCAAAAGAAGTGTAATGTGCCGTTTTAGTACATTATCTACCCGAAGGTAAAGCATTGTCAAAATTGACTCTTTTAGCTCCATTGGCAATGGACGCTAAAGGTAAGATAATATGAGAGGACAAAGTCTCAACAAAACAAACTTACCCGCACATCCATTCCTTTACGCAAAGTTCCCGCATGTACGCGCCCAATAGCTATTCGCCCTTTATGATCATCATATTCAATATTTGTAGCCTGTAAAACATGTTTGAATATGAGGTGGTTAAAGCATGATAGTTAATACTGGCAAGAGAATTCCAGGATATATAACCAGAATTATCAAAATGCATGTCATTATGAACTTTTCTATGTCATTGAAAATTCATATTAAGAGTGCCTTTTTACATCAAAGGATCATAATATGACCTTTATTAAAAGACAAACTAGAAGCTCCATTTTACCATGAGCGTTTTAGATTAATAGTAAAGAAAGATGCAAGCGGTGATCAGCAGAGAAACAAGAGTGTTGCCAAATAAGATATTTGCCACGAACACGACAAAAAAGAACTATTGACCTATCATTTTGTTCGTAACAGTATAACAAGGAAAAAAGTAAAAATGTGTATAAAGAAGAACTAACAAGCATCTGAAGTGCACCGTCTTTTTCAATACAAGGTCCAGGAATGCATCTAACTATGGACTCAAAAAGTGGTCCAAGATCATCTCCCAAATTTTCAGGTTCAAGCCCTGCTTTTCCATTGATGCCACTTGCATATATTACTTGGAAATCACACTGTCAATGGGGAAAATGCTGAGTAAAGATCGAAAGCCTATACAGGTGAACTGATATAAGAAACAGCCCAAGCCATATTTGCATCTTTGTAAGACTGAAACCTAAAAGAGGAAAACGCATATAAATTATTTAAGGAAGTTTTAAGAAAAAAACTCACTTGTTCATCTGACGCATTGAGTTCAATGAAAAGCTCAAAAGTGGCATTAACTACAAAATCTGGCCTAGCAGATGGCCTGTCAATCTTATTAACAACAACAACCACGGCATGGCCAAATTCCAGTGCCTTCTTCAGAACAAATCTTGTCTGTGGCATTGGACCCTCGACAGAATCTACCTAAAGATGAAATAACTTTGTTTGGTAACATGGGACAGATAGATGAGAAGCTCCTAATTACTCTCTTCATCCCATAAAAAGGTTCCACATTTATTTATTTTACTTTTCCCCTGAAAAATGTTCCTCTTTCATTTTTGAGGAGGGAATTGTGCGGTTCACTCAATTTCTCTCCATTGCAAAAAATTCAACAACACAGTTTCACTTTTATGAATAACCGTGATCAGTCAATTGTGGAACCTAACTACAGGAAAGGGAGTACGTTTAGAAAAAAAACAAAGGAATGAATGGAACAGAATATGAAAGCCACTAAACCAGGTATGAAGAGAGACAAATGTGAACAGAAACATAGGTTTGTTACGTTACCTATTTATTTTTTCCAAGCTAAACAGTTTTTTTTAAATTTAACTAACAGATTCTAGAAGTTACCACTAAAAGAACTCCTTCAACCATGTTAAGGATGCGTTCCACTTCCCCTCCAAAGTCTGAATGACCAGGCGTGTCGATTATATTTATTTTCGTATCATTGTAAGTAATTGAGGTGTTTTTGCTAAGTATTGTTATTCCCCTTTCACGTTCCAGATCATTTGAGTCCATTATCCTTTCCTTTACAAATTGATTGTCTCGAAACACCTGCATATGAATTTGAAAAAAACATAGTTTAAAGCTTTAAGCTCATCAATAGCACTTTGCCGTTAACACTGAACTTGGGGGGGGGGGGGGGG